ACAGCACCACTGAAGATATTTCAAATGAAGCCATTTTTCCACGGAACAATTCATCACGACGGATTCGTCCCTATTATAGTCCAGAACTGATGAAGTGTAATGAATCTGGCAGCCACATGAATTCCACTTGTGTACATTTCAGCACATCCCTTTTTTTCCATTTCTCTCAGCTCCACTCTGAAATTCTGTTTTCAGAATGGGTAGAAACTGTCACAGGTTATCAGTAGATAGGTAATAAATACAATAATTAAGTGCAGTGTTAGTCAAAGAGTTATTTTGTTCAGGTCATGTAGGATCAGCAGTTGCTCTCAATGGCTGTAGTTTTAAGTGAGTGGAGGCACACAACAAATACAATTCTTGGTTATTCTGAGCAATATAGAAATACACACAATTAACCACACCCTTTTTCAGACAATTTAAAATGTAGCTTTGTTTGACTGCATTAGTTCCAACATTTTAACTAAACATTTGTATATTTCAGAGCTCTGCACGCACAAGCAGATACCCTTCTGTCCCTGGCTAGAAGTGTCTTGTAACTGTCACTAATTTATATGACAAGCCTTGTATTATTCCTTAGCTGAGCACTGATTAGCACTCTCACAAATCTAAAATATGTCTCTTATTCATCACTGGATCCTTCTCTAAGCTTTTATGGATTTGTTTTCAATAATACTAGCACAACAATAGCCATAGCATATTAAAATGTAATTACAGTCAGATAGGTAATTGTGTAAATACTGAAACTTTACTAGCTAGCTCCGCTCCCTGTGTGTCCCTTTGAGCCACGGCTGTTAGCTCATTGACAGACGAGCGCTCTCACTGCTGTCAGAGATGTTCTCTCCCAAAGGCACCTATAGCTTTAGCACTGCACTCTCCTCCCGGATGCCTATCAGTTCAGTTCTGATTGAAAGAGTGAAGGCGGGAGGCAAGAACCGAATCAAACAAGTAGCTGGCATGATGTAGGAGCCATGGATCCTTCTGGCTCCACTCCCACCACCACTCTGTCTACTCACAGCTCCCTCCTTTCTCTCTGGTTGTTATGCAGCTCTGCTCCACAGCCCGCGGGGAGCTGATGAGACTCCTTATAAGGCTTTTTTCTCCTTTCCTCCTCCCTCCCCTGTTTTCTCTGTGTGATGGAAATTGGATGATTTTACTGCGTTTTGGGTCTTCCTCAACTGGTGAAGGCCAGGAAGGTTTGTCCTTAAAATGAGTAAATAGGAAACTCCAAGAACTTCTGCAGTGGCTTTTCTGACTCCTAACGACTCATTGTAGAAATACCATATTGTAGGTGACACAGTATTCAGTGTAATGCATTTTTTTCATCTCCAAATGGCAAAAACCACAACAGCAGTTACTATATAATTTTCTCAATTTGTGAAATCGAAAGCAATCTTCATTAACATAAAAAAGCAGCTGACAAGCTGGAAAAAACAGCGTTCTCATTCTTCATTCTTTCCTGCTATACCTTCAGCTTGGTACACAGAAAATGTTGGCCCTGATGCTGGTCAGGGTTGCTCTAAGTTTTATACTGCTACCGTTCCATTGCTTCCAGGGAAGTAACTTTTAATTCCTATCTAATATCATTTAACAATGATTTAAGTCCATCCTTATTAAATTTATCCGACCACATGTTAAATGACTTCCTAGAAAATTGAAACTAAACTAGGTTTGAATATCTTCCAACAAGAAGAATATGATTATTTACATTTGATGATGCCTATTTTCCTCATATGGATATTGCACTTTTTATGTAGTAGAGAGTACTAGACGCAGGGAGAAAACAAGGTTCTTGTACTAACCCTGAACCTTAGTAAAGAACTACACACGCTAAAAAAATACCTGGTAGCATGGAACACCTCTGCTTCCAGTGGCCACATGAGACAACTCAAATCCAGGGATGAAAATTTCCAGGTACCTCAATTAGCAGATAATTTTGAAACAACCCTTAGTCTAGCTGTCTTCATCTCGCTTGGCTGGAGCAAAAGCCATGTTCCCTACAATAATTGCATATGCTTACCTGCTGCCTTCCTGAGGAGTACACTGTTCAACATCCACTGAAAGAGAGGCCATAGCAGATACCGTTTCTGTCTCCTCCCTTTCTCGTTTCTGAGACTCAGCCAGAGCACAATCCACTGGCACAGAGTATGGCTCCACTGACTTCCAGTACTTGCCTAAGGAAAATACACATAATAATTTATGGGATTTTTAGCGAGCATGGTGGTACGAGCATAGTAATCACTTAGTTCAACACTGCGTGATTATAATTTAAAATCGCTGCGGTGTAAGCAGTACAGTTGAAATTTCAGACTGCAGTGCAGAGGTATATTTCGGAACCTAAGAATGCCAAGTTGGAAAGTGCTTTTGTTCCAAGGGCTGTGTCACACCCTTCCCCAGAAGGTAATAAACTGGAGGAGTAACACGCAGACTAATGAACTCATACTGTCAAAAAAGCTATGGGCTTTATCTACACAAGGTGAAGGGAGTTCAGGGCAGGGTTAATAACTAGAAGATCTGATATAGCAGGCAGTTGATGCATACACAGCAAGTAGGACTAGAAAAATGAACATGGTTGCACAAAGTGCTCACATAGCACAGTCTAGAAAAGGGAAAAAGTCAGAAATGCCAGCTCGGACTGAAGTGATGTTGCCAGAACAATCAGGTTTGTTAGTCCTGGATGTTCTTTCTCCTCCAACCTCAGGGCGTATACTAGAACAATAATTTATTTAAAACTTTCATATATGAACTGGCTGTTGCTGGAAAGCTGCCAGATATCATAAGGAATAGAGCTTTCTGGTTTGCCGTGTAAAAACGCAGCAGTGAATTACGAGTATTCTCAGTTTTCTGCCTGCAACAGAAGAGATAGTAAGAAACTTCTCGAGCAATGCAAACAATAATGGCAGGTGGCTCACTGTCAACATGTAAAACGGTCTGCTACTGCAGTACTGCTAAGAAACAGAGGTTGATTAGTGGTAACCAGGTGAACAAGTAAGAATCCACATATGCATTTCTTACAGTCCAGTAATGCACTGAGCACTCACTAATTGCCAGGTGGATGACACCTGGAAATGAGGAGCTTTGGGAAGGCTGGGAGCTCTGGGCCAGAGCTTATCCAGTGTTTAGCAAGAAGCTTCCAGCAGCTGCTGCAGAGGTTGGGTCAGGGTACTTATCTGGGAATTAGACAGAGGGTTTCAACAGCTGTGAAAGAGAGGGGATCAAGTAGGGGACTTTTCCGAGGGCTAAAAGGAGGATTTTAGCAGCTGGGCAGCAGGCTGAGTCGAGGTGCTGATCTGGAGGGTAGCTGGAGGCTTTGACAGCTGGGCGTCCGGGCCAGCGGTAGTGGTGCCTGAAAACTCCCTCTTTGGTAACACAGCTCTCAGCACAGTTTCAGGCTTTTCAAAAGATGAACTTTTCCCTCCAGTGAGAAAGCAGCTGTCAATAAAGCCTGAAAATGTCTTTATTCGAAAACATCGTCGCAAGATGAAAGTCCAAGTCAATCTGCAAGAACAACCAGCGAGCAAGGCCAGCGCGTTTCTTTGAACTCTAATAGTGTGCACGTTTGAGTAGTTAGCAGAATCTTTAAATAACGGGGACCTTCTGGGGATAAAAAGTAAAGTGTATTAAGTATCCTACAAAGTTGAGATTAAGTGTTAGGAGGTTGGCTTTGCTCCAAAAGCATGAAAGACACAGCTAAAAAGTTATGTACATAACAGTAGGCTCAATGATTGGAGCCTGGCAAATTTTATAAAAACAAGACAAAAATATTCTCTATTATTACTGTGCTCAGAGACCATATTCTCTATTCATTAAAAAATACACTAAAAACAAACAAAAAAGTTATATGGGCATTCCACAATGTTCTCACAGATCATATGTGTAAAAGTCAGTCTTTGCAATATACACCCAATTCAAACTCTATAATTTATGAGCTAAATGTTCGCAGAGTGGGTGGGGTTTTTGTTGCAGAAACAGATGTGCAAGAAAATCAAATCTGTTGGCATGGGAATAATACCTCCTCTTGCCTATAAAAGAAATGAACCCATGTTCACTGCTGGAGTTTTCAAGGGCTCTTATTCATAAAATAAAATATTAGTAACCAGCTACCACTGCGTTGCTCTCCTGCAGCAACAATAAAACAGCATCAGTGAGGACTGCTACATCGCATTCGCCCATTCACACACAGGCTCGCACACCAGCTGCCCCCTGAATCCTGACTTTCTTATAACACTAAAACTCAGGGCCAATTCAAGCATATTAGTGGGCTCTCTGTGCCTGTTCAACTGCCCTTCACTCCCAAGCAATTGGGGATTTTCCTTGTTTCCCTGCACTGAGAATTGGATTATGAGAGGGACTTCAGCAGTAAAGAGGGAGAGCAGAGTCAGGGCAGGAAGCAAGTGGTAGCACCTATGCTGCAGTGGAGGCTCCTGGAGAAGGGGAGTACACGGCAGGGTGTTTGCGGTTTGTGAGAGGAAATTTTAAAGCAGCCTCAATCAGGAATAGCACCCAGGCAGCAGCAGGTACCTCGTGCAAAGAGGGCTTTCTGATGCTTGTGAAAAAGCAATGGTAGGCTTTTCTTTAAAATCAGAAATCTGTACTTTACAAATGCCTGTGGCTAGCGGAACAGCTTTGCAAGCTTCTTTTTATACAGGACAACCCATATATGTTGTACACAAAACATATAGGGCTTGCATGTGTGTTCAGCCAAAAGATTTGCAGGCAAAGTCTTGTGGAACGGAGAGGCAATCAGTGTGCAACAGCAAAGGCGCTTTGTCGGAAACTCTAGGTATGCTGTGGATTGACAATTAAATGAACTCAAAAAGCATCTGCCTCAAACTGCTCACATCTCTGAAAATCCCATTTCTACTGTGCTATACTGGAATGTGATATTCTACCAGTCCTGTTACATTCATTGAGAAGAACTTGGTGGAGCTCGGGGGAAAGAATGAAGCATACTACTGGTTTCATTCATACGAAACTCCAAGAGCAATCACAGCTTGCAAGAAAAACAATGAAACCAAATCAGTCTTCTAGGTATGCTTTGGCTTTCAGCATGAAAATGTGCTTAAGTCTCCCTCAAAGATTTGTGGAAGCACTGATTATTACCAGGAAATAATAAAAAGGAACGTTTCTGTCACTGTTACAGGCATTTGTAACAGACAGATTTGGACATACCGCACCATGGCTTGCTTGAAAAAAAACAATTTAAGGGTGATATTCAAGCTAGTGAACAGGATTGTTTAGAAATAGCATATTACATGGGTGTGGGAACTACTACTTCCAAACGTATTACATTTCCAAAGGAGCTTTGGATCACTGTCACAAACAAAACATTTATACAAATTCCATTCTAGTTAGAAAAATATTGTTTCCTCTCATTCTCTAACTAAATATTATATCTTCTTTTTTTTTTTTTTTTTTTTTTTTGCAACAAACACAGTAGAGGGACTGTTTTTGTCTAAAATATTGCTAATATTCATTAGGAAATCTGGATCACAGAAATACAGACCCAATACACATGCAAGCAATCATCCAAACAAATGAGACTTCTCAGCATCTCTTGAGGTGCAACTCCACAGCTTAATGATTTCAGCTTGCATAACTCCCTATAATATTCCACATGTACTTGCCTCTCTTAATTCTATCTAAAAACGTATCCTCCATAAAGCTGCACTGAACTTCCTCAATGCTCCTTTCTGTCATCCAAGCATATTCCTTTCTAATACTTAGTCTCTCTCCAGACACAATGAGGTATGCATAACTTTTTAATAGCTGCAAGAAAAGATAGAATATTGTGTATAAATTACTCCAAACCCTGAGCAGCCCAACTTAGGTTTCAGAAGAACAGCCCACTGGACTGCCATGACTGTATCAGTTCAGCTCAAACTTAAGTGTGGCAAAACTAAGCCACTCTTCAGAGCTTTGGACTATGTTTTTAGACATACACTAGATATTTGTTCCTAAATCATCCTTTCTTTCTGAACTGCCATCTTTTGTGTTTATTTCTAGTAAGACACTATGCCTTTCTAGAGTCAGTATTTTTTTTTTGTTATTTCTCAATTCACTTTTTTTGTTGTTTTGTTTCAGATCAATTTTTCATTAGATATGTGTCTTATTACAAACAGAATTGCATAGTCTTTCCTCATGTCTGTGGCCTACATGCAGCTCTCTGTCCTTATTGTCATTTGCAAATCTGTTGTCTTGCATAGTACATGAATTTCCTTAACTTGCTGATTCCTTTCAGATCATTAACAGGGAATTTCAAGGAGGATATTAACTCATGAGCTACCCCAGGACATACCAGTCAGCAAAAATGACTTACTGGAATTTATCATATACAGCTGACTTAGAGCATTTTCATATTCAGATGACTTCTAGATATAAAGGATTAATTACATACCTACAATGAATTTTGTCACTTCACGACTAAAATCAGATTAAGAAGTACTGCATGGTCAGTGAATAATGCATGGTGTCCCTTTAAAAAAAATGCATTTATTTTATATATATGAAACCCCATTATTTGTGATTCATTTAACATGAAGAATAACATTTGTTATCCATTTGTTATTGTTAAGGAGCCAGCAAATGGCAGAAGTCAGGAAGCTCCCACTGCCTTGGTGAAATGGCAGAGAGCAGAAGACTAAGCAAAAGAGAAATTAAGGGAAGTCTGCGCAGTTGGATTAAGGCAACTGATGGCAAAGAGAAAATTTTTCAGTGAGGCCAGAACAAGTGCCCTAAAGCATCTGAGTAGTAAAGGGTTAGGGTCAGAGTACACAAGTGAAGCAATCAAGTACCTTCTGCATCAGAAACAGAATAAAAACATAAATTTGTTAGCATTGTTCCACGGATCAGTGCACATTTTGAGCTTTTCAACTTTATCTTGAGCTCCTATACATCTCAAAGCGATAACTTGTAAAGCACTGCACAGACTGAATCTGAAGAAACTATTTGTTAGAGCTCTAGTTTACCTGTATCTTCCTGCCCCTCACTGACAAACACCTATTTCATCCAAGCTGCTCTGGAATGGAAAGATTTGGGAATATTCAGGAATCAGAAAGCTCTAAATAATTTCAACGGGTTAGTTTTTCAGGGCTAAATACATAGCAAAAATAAAATAAACAAAAATAAAAGCATATATGTGTATACACAGACACACACACACACACGACACAGCATGTGGGTTTACACATAAAACATTTTCCATCTCTTTTCTCTGAAACAATTGTCTAATGTCTATGACTTCAATTAATAATAAAAAATACCCCAAATCCACCAACCCAAACTGAGAAACATACTTTGAATTTCAGTGGTCTTTTTTAAAGAAGCTATTGCATTCATATTTGGGATTTGGTGCACAATATCTTCCGGGAGAGGCTCCAGCTGCAAGAATAGAATAGAATAATATAAATTTTCAATAAGCCACAGGGAAGTAAAACAAACTGAAACAATCTAATCCTCAGGAAAAGCTCAGCCCAAAAACCAGTTAATGTTTTGCTGGTATCGGTTCTAAAAGTATAGCCATGATTTTGTTTTCTGTTTTCCAGCCATGTAATTGAATTCCAAGGGGCTTTTCTATTGGCTGCAAGACTAATCTATGGAGTCTCTGAAGCAGGTGCATGTCTGTGTATTATTCATTAAAAAAATGCCAGTTATTTGTGTAATTTTTGTAGGTTCCTCACAAACCAAATTCCACTGCGTCTGTATACGCAGCTGGGCGCTCCAAACAAAACCTTGCTGAAGCCACACTGGAACCGAAGTGTACACTCTATTATCTTTATTTTTCTAGTGTTATTACATCTAACCATCTTACGCATTTTAAGATTTATAGGGGAAAACCATAAAACACAGCTGCTTTTACTAGCTTTGCATTAATTTTGAATAAAGTAGTAGATAAAACATGGTTATACAGATCGGCAGTAAGACTTCTCTAAGCAAGTTTTTTATAGAGTCAGCTGCATTTTAATTAGACAGTTTTAATGATATATTCTTTGAGTAGGGCTGCATCATAGTAAATCAGCAGAAGGAAGTGTTCTGTTACTGCACAGTTATTTTTGCCCTGCAATGGACAGATATACCAAACAAACTGTATTTTGAAATTCATCCACATGTGCTTTTTTTGTCCACCTTCCATACATTTTCTCCTAGAAAAAGGGCAATATATCGCCTGGTTTTAATGCCTCTTCCTGTACTGTAAAGTCTCCTTGAACTATGCTTGGGGAGCAGCCAGTTTTTCCGCTTCCTCACATAGGCTGCTAAAGCTGGTCATGGAGGCGTGCTTCCTGCGGAGTCAGGAGTAGCAACCATGTCAAGGTAGACAAGGAAGACTGATATCAATACCAATCGCTCTTCTATAAAACTAAGGAAGTTTTACCATCGCTGACAGGAGACATCTGTACTGCAGACAAAACTCCTTTCTTAAGCATGCCTGGGTCTACTTTAAACGAGGTCAAGTGAAGCCCACCCAAGGAGCTTCCTCTGTGAAGTTAATAGTTCAGTAGCCATCATATATTGTCCTCTGGATCGCTACCGCTGCATTGCTACCCACCAACTAGATAAAATCAGCTTTGATCCAAGTACACAAAGTGGGAAGTAACTGCAGTGTAGATACTCCCTTAGTGGTGTTATTTTAAGCAAGCTCAGCTACAAATCCCAGAACTTCTGAGATTTTACCATTATGACCAGCAGTGAATGCCTGTCAGGGATAAAGACATTGCAAATACCACCAGTCTTTTGGAGTCCTGGTAACTAAAATAAATAGGGCTGTTCGTGTCATTATTTCCTTAGAATCCCATATAATATTGCAGCTGGAAGATTTCCTTGTCGCTAAAAACAATAGCATTATGTTTTGTTTTCAAATAGCATAAATCACTCCATTTTGGGCAGTGAGAAATTGTGCAGAGAAGTGCTGGTAGGACCTAACTGGGTACTGTCTCTACTTGATTACCAAGGAGGCCAAACTGCAAAGGAAGACTGTTGCTATCTAATTTGTATCATGGATTAGAATGAGAGCAATTACAATAAAAATAATATTTATGGATACATTTGCAATTCTTAAACCACATGCACTTCATGATCTTCATAGGTTACTCTATTTGGTAACTCTTGCGGGAGAAAACTGCATATTTATGAAAATGCCCGCCAACAGATCAAACTTCACAGATTTTAGAACAATAATCCATATAATAACCTTAATAATCCATACCTGGGGTTAGGTAGATAAATCGCACTTGCTTTTATCACTTGTTATTTTCTGTTTACAGCAACCTGTCATTTGGCCAGGAAAAGGACAAAATCCTGAAGTTTTGTTGGTTGTACTGGGTGCAGGAACACAGAAGGGGAAGCAAACAGTAGCTTAAGTTTCTGTTTTGACAATTTCCTAATTCCTAAGGCTCTGACAACCAATTCACTCCCCTGAAGCAGGAGAAAATAGCTCCAGGCTGTAACAGTAGGAATAATAGTGCAAGGTATGGAATTGCCAGACTGTAACATCTGAGAGCTGTGTCTTGCTTTGCCGTTTGAGTACCTTGAGATTCTTTCTGCAGACCTCTTGTACTAATTATTAAACTGGAAGCAACTGATGTAGAGACAGCTAGAAGAGATTTCCTATTAAAAGGTGAATATTTTGTTGCCATCTTCAGACCTGGATTTTTGCAGCCAAAAAATTGTCTGGACTTTTCCTATTATATCAGACTCCTCTTTATTTATCGGTTCAGAAATAAATTGTTTAACAAGTAGGCTACATTTGAATATCTAGACATAAAAGATGAATATTTAGAAATGGTAGATGTGTTTTTAGAAATCAAGATAAGCTGATGAATCATGAAAGAAAAGAAGAAAAAGGGTCAAACATCCAACAATTATTCCAATCATTACTCCATTTGTTAGCTCTACTAACAGATCTATAGGTGACATGAGTATGATAGTCACATTTGGTTGTTTCCTTAACTCTTTTTTCCACAAAACTTTCATTTTTCATCCCAAGCTCGGCTTCTCCTCTGAAGCTGTTCTGCCTTCTCACTCTTAGGGATAGCCACACAGAACTTGGATCCTCTTCCATATGAGGGAAAACTTATCACACTCCAGAAGTAAGCTCATTACATCATATACCCTATTCAGCCCAAATGTAGTACTATTACAAAAACACTGTAGAAATAAAGCCAGTGGCTTATGGCAGCTATTTCTATACACTTTGAAATGAGACTGTCTGCATTCGAAAGAATTATTTCTGTTGGCAACTATCCACTATACAACTGTATAGACATAGGGGTGTCCCTGGAAAATATCAGCAGTTAGATCCAAGAGTGAACAAAAGAAATTACCCACCACCTGGCATATATGGCGCTATCACCTTCCCGCCTACACTTATTGGCATTCAGATCATGAAGTCTATTAAATCTGGAGGCTAACAGAAAGGAAGCTGAAAAGAGCACTGGAAATACACTGTCAGGAAAGAAATCTCTCAGAGAAGAACAGTTCAAGTCCGTGCAGAAATAACCAAACCACTGGAGAAACAGTTTGGACTAGACACAGAGAGTCACATTTTCAAAGGTTTTAAATGGCTGAATTGGGCTTTTGTGCCAAAACTGGCAGATGAAAGTAGAAACCGTGTCCACTAATCATTTTCAAAGTAGGAAAAACAATGTAAACGGGCAAAAATCACTTGGGCTGACTAAGTCTACCAGAGGCATATAAACAAATGTTTGGAGATGGAATTGATGGAGATTTCATGTGCCCAGAAGGTGATCTGAAATGATCCTTGGGAATGCGGACAGAATCTGAAACTACAGCAGTCTGTACTGAGCTAGAAAATCTAGGAATTCTATCAATATCTGCACTGTCCTTAGCACTGTCACATCTTAAAGCACCAAGACTGTCTTCAAAGAAGATTGTTGCAGAGTGCAGTGAGAGATAACTGAGAAGTGAGTCAATTGCAAGCATAAGGTAAGGAGCATGGAGAGTCCTGACAGAAGCAGCAGAAGGGGAGGAGGCAGGCAGGCTCCTCTGGGATGTCTAGGTTGCAGGAGAAGCCCTACAACCTCCCTTTCCCAGATACACCGTGCAAGAGGCATATCAGGCCAAAGACTGGTCTTTGCTGCTTTTAGGGTCGCCTATGATTACAGTGAACTAAGTTCAAAGATCTCACAGGTCCGCTGTGTACTTGTATTAGCAAACTTCTCAAAGTTTCTGCATTTTCTGTTTATATGTAAGCACTTTAGGCAGGTATTGTTGTGATCCACTGTTACAACGTGGTACATAAATGAGTCAGTTTTCAGTAGGGAATAGGTTCAAAGGCACAAAGGATCATTAGAACCTATCAGTCCCTGAAAAACAAGAGATGCCTTGGAAATATGTAACTTTGGAATCAGAATATTCCTTGTTTTCTTGGAAAAACCACTTCCTGACTAGTATTGCCCACCTTGGAGACTTGATATTACCATACTGACCTCTGGCACAGTTTCCTATTCCATCTAATTCTCTATTTCTGGGCCAATTTCTGGACTCTGGGTTTATGCAGTAGCAGTTGACAGGTGGCTTAGACTCAGTGTTAATTATTTTCTAGTATTAGACTCAGATTAACAATGAGGATGTGAGACTGTGACTAAGTTTACCATGCAATTTAAAATTGATCTCAGGCCATATTCACTTCCATGAATATTTCCATTTTGGAGAGAGAAACGCTTACCTGTTCCGGCAAATAGCCCCTTTTAACGCAGTCCAGGCCCTCTTGGCAGAGCTCACTGCCTAGCTGGCAAGCAGCCCCAGATTCACACTGAATTCCACAAAGGAGGAGAATGCCAACTTTTCATCATCAGGAGGAAAGCTGCAGAGTATGAGCTTTCCACTTAAATTACCATCCCCTCCTAAATGCCAGCTCAACAGATTGCAAGAAAGAAGCACATACTTCACACTCTGCAAGAAAATTGTCCAGTATAAGTTTTCAAGCATGCTTGGGAGCCAACCAATCACAATGTTTTGTCAAATTCTGCTTCAGACTGAAATTCAAGCCAGAAGAATATTTACTAGAAGATGTTAAATTTAGTCACTTAAAAATGTTTTTGCACTTAGGGCCAAATTCAGCCTTGGCCGCCACAGTCAATGAGAGCAGACTCGCATCCTCTGTGTGCCTTTGTTGCAGGGTCCCGCTGGGCAGAGCACACTGTGGACTGCACTCCTCTGTTTCCTCTATGCAAAGAAGAGCATGACCCCATCTGTGACTAATTATCACTTGTTATAGACCACAGCAAACTGCAGTACCACGTAGAGCTAAGAGACACTGCCCAAACCTGTAGACAGATTAGAGGGACCGTGATGTTAGACTGACTTCTATGTCCCATGGAAATATCCCACCTAGCTGCTTGAAAAGGGATGGGATGAAGGAA